TGCTGCTCTGGGCTAAGCTCTGCCCCTACCTCGGCCTCTAGCACGGCCTCAGCCTCGCCCTCTGCCCCTCGTGGGAGCTGCTGCTGGGGGCTCGGGCTGCTGGTCAGCGGATGAGGAAGCGCACGTTCTCGGCATATGCGAGAGAACAGAATAGAAATTCAATCAGCATTGAGAAACCAAACCGCACGAGACGAAAGAAAAGATGTGAAATTTTCCTAACTCTGTAGCTTCTGGGGGATAAATACAGACGTCTACGTACCGATCCCTCAGACTCTACTAAGCTTGTCTGTGAACTGTGAGACCCATGTAACCTAGAGCTATGATACCAACTTGTCACGACTCGGACTTTCCACCCTCGGGAGTCGTGATGGCGCCTACTAATGTGAGCTAAGCAAGCCAATTATTGAACATATTACCTTTATCCATTTTTATACCTTTTTAGCATTCATAAAACAATAACGTGTAAACAATGGAAAATTTAGAATAAGCGGAAGAAAGCAATAAAATATTTGGACATGAACCTAATACAACCGTTTAAGCCTTAATTACCCAGAACCGGTGTCACGGTACCACAGATGATCTAAGAGTGCTAAATACAAAGTCTGAAAATAAAACATACATTGTTTCTGAATCAAAGAAATGAAACAGGAAATATAGGATAGAGAAGACGTCAGGGCCTGCGGACGCCTGTAGGTCTACCTTGGATCTCCGCGTGGACTGAAGGTAACCACTCAATCTACGGTTCGAAGTCTACAGCACTGGTATCTGCACAAAAGAGTGCAGAGTGTAGTATCAGCACAACCGACCCCAGGTGATGGTAAGTGCCTAGCCTAACCTCGGCGAAGTAGTGACGAGGCTAGGACCAGACTACCAAATAAACCTGTGCAATTCAAATATATACAGAGGAAAAGAAGTACAGAAATATCCAGTCGAATATGGGAGGGGGAGCATGCTGCGGAGGAAATATCAATTCCGAATAGAAAGACAACAGGTAAATGTAAGAAGCAATATATCTCAGATATCAATAGAAGAACTAGAAATCAAAAAATGCACGGCATCACCCTTCGTGCTCTTACTCTCGTCCTCACCAAAGCAATCATATAATAAAAATGTGCACGACATCACCCTTCGTGCTTTTACTCTCTTTCCTCACCATATAATCAAAATAATCGGCACGGAATGGTACATCGTGCGGCACGGCATCACCCTTCGTGCTTTACACTCTTTCCTCACAAAAACAATGCACGGCATCACCCTTCGTGCTTTTACTCTCTTTCCTCACCACTATAATCAATATAATCGGCACGGAATGGTACGTCGTGCGGCACGGCATCAGCCTTCGTGCTTTACACTCTTTCCTCACAATCATACACGGCATTACCCTTCGTGCTTTACACTCTTTCCTCACAAAAATAATGCACGGCATCACCCTTCGTGTTTTAACTCTCTTTCCTCACCCAAACAACAATCACAAACAATAGGGCAAAGGAAATAAATGAAATTGCAATAATAATCCCGGCAAGGGAACAATAATTCAACAACAAGCTCCGGCAAGGAACAACATCAAAACAACAACTAAATCCCGGCAATGGAAATAACAATTAAAGCAACAATAGCCCGGCAAGGGGGCAACATAATGATCTCTTCTCTTTCTCACTTTTACTTCACAATTCACTTCACAACTCGAGCCAACACTCTAAAGGTTCAATTATCACTTACACCTTCACAATTCGTTATACAACTTGAGCCAACGCTCCTCAATGTTCATAGGTCACAATTCCTTCCACATCTTTACACAACAAATAGAAACCATCACCAAGGCATGAAAGATATAACGAAGTCATGATAATCACAATATAAAGACTCACGGGCATGCTAGACACCAACGTATAGATACTCGTCACCATGCCTATACGCCGTACTCAACATTTACCACATAGCAAATAGGACTCGACTCCTAATCCCTCAAGCTAAGGTTAGACCAAACACTTACCTCGATGCCACGGACACAATTCACGTCTCAATTATAGCTTTACCCCTTGATTCCACCACCAATTCGCTCTTATCTAGCCACAACTTACTTAATTACATCAATAAACGCTAAATGAATCAATTCTAATGCATGAAAATGAGTTTTCTAAAGTTTTACTCGAAAAGTCAAAAATCGTCCCCGGGCCCACATGGTCAAAACCCGAGGTTCGAACCGGAACCCGATTACCCATTCCCCCACGAACTCAAATATATAATTTGTTTCGAAATCGGACCTCAAATCGAGGTCCAAATCCCCATTTTTTGAAAAATCTAGGTTCTATCCAAAACACCTAATTTCTCCCATGAAAATCATTGATTTGAAGTTGAAATCATGTTAAAAGATGTTAAGGATTGAAGAAAATTAGCTAAAAATGACTTACAATTGATTTGGAGGAGAAGTACAATTGATTTGGAGGAGAAGAAACCTTTGAAAAATCGCCTTAGTGTGTTTATGTTTTGAGAGGATATGAAAATGGGTTAAAAATTCGGCTAAGTATAAAAGTTGCAGGTCTTAGATGTGGGAATTGCGAACCCCGACCTCTGCTATTATGGGAATTCCGTAGACAGGGTCGCATTTGCGACCCCATGCGTCAAATGAGAAACTTCGCATTTGCGAAGCTGGCGTCGCATTTGCGACTGGCCTTCCGCATTTGCGAGCCAAGTGGTCGCATTTGCGATCAGGCCGGCCCAGGTCCTATTTTCGCATTTGCGATGGAGGTCTCGCATTTGCAAGCCAGGCTTCGCATTTGCGAAAGCCTGCAGACCTGTGGACATCTGCTAAAAAATCTGCAATTTACCAAGTCCAAAATACACTCTGTGGCCTATCCAAAACTCACTCGAGCCCTCGAGGCTCCAAACCAAATATACACACAACCTCAAAAACATCCTACGAACTTATTCGTGCAATCAAATCACCAAAATAACATCATGAACATCGAATTAAACCTCAAGATCAATGAAATTTCTCAAAACTTCTTAAACATTAAATTTTGCATTTAAGGTCCGAATCACGTCAAATGGATTTCGTTTCTTACCAAACTTTACCGACAACACATATAAATCATATTAAACCTGTACCGGGCTTCGGAACCATAATATGGGCCCGATACCTCAGATTTCACTTAACATTTCACTTTTAAAAATCTTTATATTTTTCAGAAAATAATTTCTTTCAAAAATTCATTTCTCGGGCTTGGGACCTCGGAATTCGATTTTGGACATACGCCCAAGTCCCATATTTTCCTACGGACCTTCCGGGACCGTCAAATTACGGGTCCGGGTCCGTTTACCCAAAACGTTGACCGAAGTCAAATTAATTTATTTTATAGCCAAAATTTATCATTTTTCACAGATTTTCACATATAGGCTTTCCGGCTACGCGTCCGGACTGCGCACGCAAATTGAGGTGATGCTAAAAGAGGTTTCTAAGACCTCGAAACGCAGAATTCATTTTAAAAACAAGTGATGACCTTTTGGGTCATCACAGAGTTAAACTTTGTAAAGGAAAACATAAGGAGTAAAAACAAGAGAAACTTTCAGAAACTACTATGTAGCTACCATTTACTATATTACTTCCTATAGCTATGTTTTCAAATTTTTTAGAGTGTATTCGATGTATCTAAGTTACTGTATTTATGAATACAGTAGCATTTCTAGGCGTGAAACAGGGGATTATAGCTAGATAGATTTTTGTATTCGACTGTATTCACGGCATGAAACAGGGGATTACACTGTTTTTAAATGGAAAGTGAATAAATTAACATAATATACTCCTAATATAACTCAACAAATTCAATTATAACATACAGATTTTGTATTTCCAATTATAAAAAAGATTCTCAACCGAAAAACACCCCAAAAACATAGCGATCTTCAGAGAAATTATATAATACATCTGAATACATAAATTATATCAATTAAAAAAACACATATGAATACATTCATGGAATATAGCGAGACAATGAATACAATGAAATACATAGAATACAACAGGATATATTGAAATACAATGGAAAAAAAGACAATGAATACAATGAAATACAGCGAGATACATTGAAATATATTAACATAAAATACAAGTTCCATACAGTGAGAAAATATCTGTCAAAATCTTTCCTTCTTCCATTGCTTTTTCAAGAGCAATTGTCTGTAAATGGCGACAATTTCACTGTCTTTTGTTTGGCTGTGTCGACTTTGTGTACTATTTTAGTAAATAAGAACATTAGACCTGAGAGAGAAATTTCACGACTTCTTCTCCTTCTCCAGCGAGATTGAAATTCGACTGTGAATGAGATTGGGAGGCTGAGGGCGGCGGTAACAATGAATAACTGCCACGGTCGAAACGGTGACGATGGCAATTGCTCTAGCATCCGGCGGAGGAGAAGACATAGGAAGTAGAGAGAGAGAGGGAGAATAGATATGGGGCAGGGAATAGGAGAAATTTGAGGGGATATGAGACAGAAAAATAATACAAAGCTTATATTATGGCTTAAGGGTAGGAGGCAACTATAAATAGGTATTTGGCTATAAAAAATCAAAAGATAGCTATGAAATATAATTTTTTAAAAGGATATTTATTTAAAATAAATAAGATATCAACATTTGCTTTGCTATAGGAGGTAACCAATCCTAAAAACAAAGACGACTAATGTAAATGGGTGGAAAGAGCAAAAGAAAAAAGAGAGCTGTTTGCATTTTGCAGCCCTGATTTGTTTTTGTGATTTGAATCATATCTTAATATTTTTAATAATTTACACTGTAATCTCTTTATTTCCTTACAAAATAATAAAATCATTCTTTATCTCAAATTATCCATGAAGGTAAAACGAGAAAATATGAAGAAGTAAAAAAGAAATGCTGCAAACGAAAAAGAGGAGTGTTAAATAAGTAGCTTGCTAATTAAAATTAATTTTCAAATTAGCATCCACCTCACTATCTTTCAACAAAAGTCACAAAATTAACTCTTGTTATTTTAAAATCACTGAACTTAGAATTGATTACTTAAATTCATTAACTCTCATAGGAAGCCAAGTAGGCATGCCAAATAACCTAAAATGTCGAGGTAAAAATTTATCTGTCAAATGTATTTTCTTAGTAACTTGAAAAATTAGCTCTACTGATCACTAATTTGAAAAAAAAAAAAAAGTTTCTTGGGACGCGGAGAAGGAGAGAGTACCAGTTGAGAGTGGAACAAATCTTTATACATTTATACATAAATGAATCAAATATTCCTTCCTTCTGTAATCTTAAGCACATTCATTAAACCGATTTTTTACTCTTAAGTTTATGTTTGATAGACTATGTTTAAGCAATGAATGCAAGAAAACTAGTGTTTCAAACTCATTGTACTCAAATTCCTCAAACTATCCGAAACTCTCTTCTTTGTGCTGGAACCAATCCACCCTCTTCAAACCCGCCATTTTTACCAAAGCCTCCTTCTATCTTGGCCACTGGCCTTCTCAAATTGTATTTTGAAAGGGGTCTAATTCGAGAAGCACGTACACTGTTCGATGAAATGCCTGAAAGAGACGTTGTTGCTTGGACGACCATGATTTCTGGGTACACTTCATGTAATCACCATGCACGTGCTTGGGTGGTTTTCTGTGAGATGATGAGGTATACGGATGTGCGCCCCAATGAGTTCACCTTTTCTAGCACGTTGAAGGCTTGTAAAGGGATCAATTCGTCCTCTCGTGGAGCTTTGATTCATGGTTTGGTTCTTAAGCAAGGCATGAGTGTAAGTATTTATGTTGCGAATGCACTCTTGGATGTCTATGCTACGTGTTGTGTTAATATGGATGAAGCATCTGCGGTTTTTCATGAAATTAGAGTGAAAAATGATGTGTCTTGGACTACCTTAATCGCGGGATATACTCATCGTGGTGACGGCTATATGGGGCTTAAAGTTTTTAGAAGAATGTTACTGGTACGTATTTAGATATTTTCTTGCAAAAGGCCAGCTAATGCACATACGAAATGGTGTTTTTTTTTTTTTGTTATCGCTTGAATTCACCTGTTATAGAAAAATGCTAGACTGTATCATACTCAATTAAGTGCTACTTGCAGCAAGTCCTTTGTGACTCGAAACTGTAGTAGATCTAGTACTGCATGTAGTTTAATTTGAAAGCTACTTCTTAAAGTTTGAAAATGTGATACTCAAAAACATGTAAGTCATTGCTTGGTCTGTATGTAGGTTTTGTTGCATGATCAGTGAAAGCCTTACCTAGTTGCTTCAATAAAAATAAGTTGCTAACATAATACAAATGGAAATTTTAATTCTGACCTTTCATCCTTTTTTTTGCGTGTGTTTGGATGGACAGGAAGAGGGTGAATCAAACCCATTTAGCTTTTCAATAGCGGTTAGAGCTTGTGCCTCCGTCCATTCATGTGCATACGGGAAGCAACTTCATGCTGCAATCATCAAGCATGGCTTGGACTTTAATCTACCTGTAATGAATTCTATTTTAGATATGTATTGTAGGTGTAGTAGCTTAAATGATGCAAAGCAATGCTTCCGTGAAATGACTCAAAGGGATTCAATCACGTGGAACACTTTGATTGCTGGGTACGAGAAGTCTGATCCATACGAGTCTATCAGCATATACTCGAGTATGGAGTCAGAAGGTCTTAGCCCCAACTGCTTCACATTTTCCAGCGTTGTAGCAGCTGTGGCAAATTTGGCAGTTTTGAGTTGTGGAGAGCAGATTCATGGAAGAATCATAAAGAGAGGCCTTGGCGGGAACTTGGAGTTGGACAATGCCTTAATAGATATGTATGCAAAGTCTGGAAATATTGCAAGTGCACGTAGAATTTTTGATAAAATGCCCAAGAAAAATCTGGTTTCGTGGACCTCAATGATGATTGGTTATGGAAGCCATGGTTATGGAAATGAAGCTGTTGACTTTTTTGAAGAGATGGTTAAATTCAGAGTCAGGCCAGATAGGATAGCTTTTGTGGCAGTTTTAAATGCATGTAGCCACGCTGGGCTTGTAGATAAAGGTTTAAGGTATTTTATCTCAATGGTTGGTGATTACGACATAGCTCCAGATCAGGAGATTTTTGGGTGTTTAGTAGATTTGCTAGGACGTGCTGGAAGAGTTGAGGAGGCTTTTAAGTTGATAGAGAGTATGCCATTTGATCCTGATGAATCTGTTTGGGGAGCATTCCTAGGAGCATGTAAAGCACACAATCTTCCAGATTTGGGCAAACTGGCCATGAGAAAGGTGTTGGCTTTGAAGCCGAAAATTGCAGGAACCTATGTGATTTTGTCAAATATCTATGCAGCTGACGGTAAATGGGGTGACTCTGCGAAAATGAGGAAGTTGATGAGAAGGGTGGCTACTAAGAAAGAGGCTGGGAGAAGTTCAGTAGAGATAAAGAATCAGAACTATAGTTTTGTTGCTGGAGATAAGATGGGTTCACATATGGATTGCGTTTATGAAGTTGTAAATATCCTGGTTGAACACATGAGTGACGTACCATATATTCCTGATTTTGACTTCTTTATACATGATTCTGAAGATGGAACTTGAAAAGTAACAGCACTGAGGTTCAACGGGACTTCGTTGTTGTATTTGTTAATGTATTTATTCTTTGTGGGGCAGTGGAATTCAGTTAGAAGCAAAGTATGATAGATTCGTTTTTTCCAGAAGGCACATCACATTCTATGCAAAAAGAGATTTTATTAAGGAAGTTGAGGAAGGGAGGATAACCAATCCCCTTTGTTCAATAGTTGATACTCTGAGAGAAGGAACTAGTAAACGATTGTATACTCGTGTAAGTTACATAAAATATCACCCTTTCTGTATTTCCAAGATAATGAACTGACTTTTGGTCGAATGCATTGGCCTGATGCAATATATTGGAAGTTTAGAAAAAGCACGATCTTGATTATACCCAACATGGAGTCTAGTGGATTTTCAGTCTTCTAAAATGCTCTTGAAACCAGCGAGGGGACATTGTTATCATGGGAAGAACCCTGTGATCTTGAAATTCATTTATGTACTCTTTACCTTTTCTGGAAGGAAAAATAACTCAGTACCAAACATGACTTAGAGTGGATATGATACAAGACATTTTTGTGGGAAAGTAAGCTCGATTGCACAAGTAAATCCAGTAGATCTTCTGACTTATAAAAGGTTCTTGGAAGATCCAGCGATGAGTACATTGTTATATTGGGAAGAACAATATGATCCTTTAGAGGCTTGTCTTCGCGCTCTTTGAGATTTCTGGAAGAAAAATTGCACAAGTGGTTGCTAAGTCTCAGATTCGTTTACTAAATGACCGTTGTTTAGGAGGTGAAACACATTCTACTTACATGTCAAACTGGCTAAGATTGGTTAAATATTTGTCTGGGGGGTATGGTCGAATTTCTACTGTTTGAGCTAGTCAGTTGCAATAGCTGATTGACTTGGGGAAAAAATGTAACGTCACGACATAATTCAAGCACCAGTGAACGTAGTAATGAAATGTGGCTGATCCCAGGTTGGTGCCCACGAGTGACAGTCGCTGTGAAATCAGAGGCAGAACAGATGATTCTATGCTAGATAGCTAGTGCTCAAGCGGAGTTAACAGAGATTTGGCTGATTAAGCAGGAAGATACGTCCAGTTTGAACGCGAATCTCCAAATTGATAGAATACATCATACCACTACAAAAATGGAGCAAAATATCAAAATTACAAGCTTACGGTCATGGAAACCTTCGTGATGCTTTGCAGATGAGATGCTACTTTATCTATAGCACAAGTTGTGGTTCTGAGTTTAAGAATATTATGGTACGTGGCAGTTTTACAAGATTGCTGGTACATTCGGTCCATGTTTCTCCACCAAGAGCCCCAACCCATTTGCTTCCCCCATATAGCATAAATTTCTTTGCTTATTCATTAACCACTACAAAAATTCTTCAACGTACTGCAAAAATAGCACAGAGATGTCACCCTAATTCAGTATGCCAAATAAATGAACTGCCTCTGGTTGTCTCTCCCATTGTGGGTAAGGAAATATTCCATTATTTGTCCATCAACTGTAAAGATACCAGGAAAACAAATAGGGTCAATTCTTTTTCAGCTACTGACAACTTTAAAGTTTTACAAAAATTGCACCGCAAGAACTATACGAGTGGAATGCGGAAAAGCTACTCCTAGTTCAGGAACTTGAGTAACCAAAAGAACTTGCATTGTTATATAGAACAGACTACTCATCCATCTCTTCTGTGAACGAAGTGCTAGTAAATTAAGCTAGCATTGATTATCCAAATTGATAAAGACATGTATATTGTAATTTTGTATATGTTTAAAACCAATACAACAGTAACATCCAAAATCTTATTAACCTGTTCAGCTTCAATAGATCTTCAAGAACGAGGTAGATGCTGATTAAATACATAAAGAAGCTCCTTCTAGAGCCTGTAATGGCCAAGCTCCCAATGCAATCTGGGTAGCGGCCTTTGGTACCTACATCTGAATCGGTGCCAAATCTGAATCTTTTTTTTATAAAGTTGCTTCATTGAAAGGCATCAAGCTAATGCAATGATTACAAGAATAAATATGCTAGCTCCATTACAAGATGTTATGATGGGATCTTGGAGCTAGCCAATAACAAGAAGATATACCTCAAACAGGCTAGTCAAGAGTGAGGGAGCTCAAAAAATCTAAAAAGACAGTGGAACTATTTACATAGGACTGTTTGGCCCAGCAAAAAAGACTAAGTAGACATCTGGCCTTCAGCAAGTGAATTGGAGTTGAGACTCCATCAAAACATCTGAGGTTTCTTTCAGTCCATAGGCACCAAAAAATGCAAGCTGGTATCATCCTCCAGGTGTCCCTGAATCGGTGCCAAATCTGAATTCGAGTGCATAATTAGATACTTCAGACTTAATTCAACTACTGCAATGCAATCTTACTATATCAGGGTGCAGTTGTGACTACAACATAGCAACAATGTACAAATACCTGGTAGACCGAGTGACCAAAAATTTCAATTTTGACTACGAGCTCCTTTTATGCTATAGATCAAAATCCAGTCAGCAAAGATGTTCAAGGAGCACAATCTGAAATATGTGAAGGAGATCTTGATAAGAGATGACGAGAACTCGAGCAGAGTGAAAACTTAAGAAGCTTTAAATCCAAAAGTAGCATCAGAGCACTTGCCTTACTGTCCATATCCATGGAAGTCAGTTTGCCCAGAATGTTGATTGAAGTGCAATGCATGTATTCCCATTTGGGAGGCGATGGCCTAATCAGCCTACGCACAGTTCATACATGAACGGCAGCCAGTTAATGTTGCAAGGAACATTCAGGCATTCAAGTTGAACAACCTTCATAATAGTTCCTTATGGCCCAACAACCGAGAATTAGTTACCAAAATTCCATACAGGAACAAGACCCATCCTTAAAATGGTGAAAGCGATGGCGATCCCTAACCACAATCTCACGATTAAAAGCTTTTGATATTAGCTTTGCTGCTGTATGACAATCACTACATATTCGTAAGTTCTTTATAATTCTTATTGGAGTTGGAGGAGTGATAGAAATGAGCCCATAAGCAATTGCAAGCTTTTCACTATGTCTAAACAGGGTACTTTCTTTTTCTTCCTCATCAATATCAAGTAAAACCTCATCTGTGCCTGGAGCATAGCCCATTATCTTTAACCGCTTTTCCATTTCAGCCAACATTGTTTCGATTTCATTTATCTGCAGATGAGACTTGTCTCCAGCCAAGAATTCATGAATTGCACCATTTGCTTCAATCATACTGCAGCCAGGAACTTTAACGACTCCCTGCCGCATCATTGCTCCTCTAATATCCAGAACACTATCCCAATTACCTTTTGAGGCAAATATGTTGGACAATAACACATGAAATCCATCATGATCTGGCTGAAGTTCAATGAGCTTCCTTCCAACCCTCTCCCCCATCTCACTATTACCGTGTTTTCTGCAAGCTCCAAGAAGAGCACCCCAAGTGGCAACATCAGGAGCCATAGGCATACTGTCAATAAGCGTCTCAGCTTCTTTCAGCAACCCTGCACGTCCAAGTAGATCAACCATGCATCCGTAGTGCTTGATATTAGGTTCAACACTGTAATATCTGGTCATACTATCAAAGTAGGAACGACCCTCCTCTACCAGGCCCATATGTCGACAGGCACCAAGAACTGCCACAAAAGTAACCTCATTAGGGGTTACACCACATTCCTTCATTTCCTGAAACACTGCTAGTGACTTCTCCACCTGCCCATTCATGGCCAATCCAAGAATTAAAGCATTCCATGAAGAAACCCCTTTTTCTTCCATTCCATTGAAGACTTCCAATGCATTCTCCACACAACCACATTTCAAGTACATGTCAACAAGAGTTGTACCAAGAATGATATTCACTTTGAGCCCATTCTTTCTTATGTAAGCATGGATCCATTTTCCTTGATCAAGGGCAGACAAGTGGGTGCAAGCCGAAAGAACACTAACCAAAGTAGTTTCGTCAGGCTTATTGTCCGCATGCAGCATCTCCTGAAACAGTGCTAGAGTTTCCGAGAAATAATCATGTTGCGCATAACCAGATATCATCGTCGTCCATGACACAACATCCTTCTCAGGCATGCAATCGAATAATTCTCTAGCCTTCTCCAGAGAGCCACATTTCAAGTAGCCAGAGATCATTGAGTTCCAAGATATCTGGTCCAAATGACTACTCGTATCAAACAATCTTTGTGCAGCCGTTACATCTCCACAAGTGGAGTACATATGAATTAAAGCATTTTGAAGGTTGACATAAGATTCAAAACCAACTCTGATAACCAATCCATGTACTGATTCTCCTGTCTGAACAACCAACAAGTGTGCACACGCAGATAGCACACTTATCACAACCACCTCATCTATGGAAGTGCCATTAGCACACATTTGCATAAATAAATCCAAAGCTTGTTTGTACATCCCATGTTGCTCATAACAAGAAATCAAAGCAGTCCAAGAAACCACATCTTTTTCCTTCATTTCATCCAATAATTGACAAGCCTCTGTCATCCTACCAGATCTACCCAAGAGTACAATCATAGAATTGGATGCAATAACATTCTTCATAGGCATCTTATCAAAAATTACTTTTGCCTCTTCAACATTTCCAACCTGTACATAACCTGCCAGTATCGAATTCCACGAAATCGAGTCCAGCACAGGACTTTCATCAAACAGCTTTCTTGCATCAACCATGTTTTCACAAACAGCATACATGTTAATCAAAGTGTTCTTAACATAAACATCCGATGTGAATCCCGTTTTAATAACATGATTATGAAACTCTTTTCCCTCTATTTCCGACAATCTAACTGTGCTGGCTTGAACCAGAAGCGGAAACGTATAATTATCAATACATACATTATTCTTCAACATTGATTTATACAAAAGGATTGTATTTTGAGGCTGGTTTTGCTGTAAATAAGCTCTCATCATGGTATTACGAATAAACCCATTTGGATTTTCGATGTAATCAAAGATTTTATGAGAGTAATTAACGTGAATGAAAAGGGAGTCAGTAGAAAATTTGAGAATCCTGCTTGCAGCATATGTATCTTTGATGAACCCAGTGGAGATCATCTGAGAAAGAATTTGCCCAAAATGCTTGGAATTTTGGCATTTTAGCATAAGAACCTCCAAGATTGAGAGATTTATGGTTGTTTTTGAGGTGGGTTTTTGAACAAGATTTGACTTGAAGGGTGAAAAAGCACATACCTTTGTCAAATTCATATACTTATGTCCTTGTTTCAAAATGTGAATAAAGTAATGAAGGAGCTAAGAGATGTCGCCGGAGCACTGGCTTCCGATAATCGGAGAATTCTGTTTGGGTTTTTCTGGTTTGTTTTCGCGCCTTTCTTTTTTGGTTGTTATATGGAGAAAAGGGGATATAGGTGTATTTAAATTGCATTCACGTGCATCATTTTTTTGTGGTGATATTCAACCCCTCAATTTCTCATATGTTTGAAACAAATTAAAAACGGAAAAGGGTTTGATCTATCCCTCTATTATGATAAATTGTTCAAAATTGTGCTCCGTTATACTATTGGGCCATAAAAGTCCCTGCCGTCATACTATCCTAACAAATCTACTCTTAGTTAGACGGAAGTGCCACGTGGCATCCATCCGTGCCCTTTTAACATCTGTGCACATATGAGACGACCCGCTCCATGAAACCCACCAAACCCATAACCCGCGACCCGCCATTTATAAACCAAATAATACCCATTTCTAATAATCGCGTTGGGGAAGTAATCGTTTTAGGTAATCTAACTTCCTATGGTGATTTTAATTTCCATTTTTTAAGCCGAAAACTTTCAGATTTCAAATTCAAAATCAGAAATCTGGGTTTATTGGTTACCTATTGTTAGAATCGTTTGGAAAAATCATTTGTTGTGCTTAAGTTTTGATTCGATTACTAATTTGGGAAAATATAGTTGAAGGGAAACTAAAATCACTATTGGACTATTTGGAAAAGCTTGAAGAACACCCAACTGGGTCTGTTGTGAATTTGTGATTGCTTAAAAAAGTTTTTGCGGATGAACTTTGGTTTCCGATGGCTCCTTCTACACTTCTTATCATTTTTCTTAAATTTTAATTAAATGCTTTTGATTGGCATCTGATTTCTAATCTTCCTTTATTTTATAATATATGTAAAAATAGTTACGGACGAACCATTTTCTTCCGCACAATTCAATAATTTCTTGGGAATATGGTGATGAAAAGTAAGGAGAAGAAGAGGATGGGAACGATGATATATCAATTGGATACTGGATTTAAAATTTTGGAAGAGTTGAGATGTCTATGTTTCTTGTTGAAAGTATTTTTTAGAACATTGTTGGAAAGCTGGTACGTGAAGCAAGAGCTAAAAACTCCATTGATGAAAGCTCTGAATCTTAGCTCGAAAATTGAGTTTTCGAAAATGTGAACTATTTCTAATTGATGTTATTGTGTTTTGTTAGGGATCTCTTGGGGAGCTTAAATCTCAAATCATAACAAATTTGGTGAAGATTCAAAGAAGTTGGGTTGGAAATCTTGAGCAAATATCAATAAAGATGAAGAACAATGCTGGTTTTCCATATTTTTAAGTTATGTCTCTCTTTTTGCCTTTAGGTAACGGGTCTTAACTTGGGCGGG